TCATTTGATCTAGTGATGATTATATCATCCATGTAGACTAACAAAGCAACAAATGAAGGTCCAGATCCTTTGGTGAATAAGGAGTAATCTACCTTTGATTGAACAAAACCAAACTAAATGAGGGCCTAAGAAAACTTGGAGTACCATTGTCTAGAAGCATGCTTGAGACCATAAATTGATATGTGATGTTTGTAGATCAATCTCTCCTCGTGTGTATGAGTCATCCTTTGCGTAGCATAACCAAGTGGAAGATCCATATGCACTTCTTCAAATAAATTCCCATTAACGAAGGCATTGTTCGCATCAAGCTGCGCCAAATGCCATTTTTGGCTTGGAGCAAGTGCCAATAGAATTTCGATTGTAAAAAGTTTTGCTATAGGGGAAAAGGCCTCAGTGTAATCTAATCCTTCTTGTTGTGTGTATCCTTTGGCGACTAATCGTGCTTTATGTCTTTCAATGGTACCATATAATTTATTTGTTAATTTTGTAGATCCATCTACAACCAATGGAATGCTTTCCAGTGGGCAATGAAGTGACTAAGTTTTATTGGATTCCATCGCATACAATTCAGCTGTCATGGTAGCCCTCTATAGTAGAAACTTCACAGCTTGATGATAAAATTGAGGTTCAAACTGAGAGGAAACATTTAGAACTAAGTTTTGTGCGTGTCAAACAAAGAACTATAAGACAGATATTTGGATAGAGGATATGCAATAGTACAGGAAGATGTTTCATTACTAGAATCATTCTGGGATAGTAGATTGCAATGAAATTCCCTTAGATAAGAGGGAGATTTTGGAGTTCTAGTAGACTTTCATAGGACAGCTTTGATAGAGAGGAAATGGAATTTTGTAGATCTGCATTTGGAGTTTCAAAGTCATCATTATGAGAAGGGGTTGGAGCATCATCGTGTAATATGGGATGAGTGGAAGTTAGCGATTGAGAGGCGGGAGAATTTTTAAGTGAAGGAATTGGCAGTACAAGATCAAGATGAAAGTGAACTAACTTGTCTAAAGATATAACATAATGGAATGAAAAGATTTCTTCAAGAAATATTTCATCTCAAGAGACTAAGATTTGCTTTGATGTAATATCATATAAGTTGTATCCTTTCAGGCCAGGCGGATAACCAAGAACTACACAAACTCAGATCTTGGTTGGAATTTTATTCTATCAGCATTAAGTGTTAATTCAAATGCTAGACATCCAAATACCTTGAAATGAGAGTATGCTGAATTTTTGTATAGGATATCATAAGGAGTACTATGTTTGAGTAAAGGAGAAGGTGTTCGATTGATGAGAAAGGGTGCCGTAAGAACACATTCACTCCAAAATTGAATTGGAACTCTGGATTGAAATATAATGCTCGAGCAACATTGAGAAGATGTTGATGTTTTCTTTCCACAACTAAATATTGTTGAGGCCACTCAACACAAGAAAACTGATGTATCACACCTTTATCATTAAAACTTTTGTAAAAAGTTAGCTTAGGTGCATTATTAGATCTGAACACTTTGATTTTGGTATTAAAATGAGTAGATATCATGTTAAAAAAACTCCGGAATAATAGAGCTAATATCAAATTTCCTCTTTAATAGATAAATCCATGTAAATCAAGTGCAATCATCTGCCAATGTAAGAAATTATTTGTGGCCAGCATGAGAAGAAACATGATAGGGTCCCCAAACATCACAATGTACTAAGTCAAATGGAAATTGAAACTTATGATTGTGGGAATCAAATGATAATCGTCTTTATTTTGCAAGAGGACAAATGTAACAGGGAACAACTTCATTCAATCTAGATATCACAATGTAAATGGTGTTTTAAAATCTCTAAATGTCGGAATGATAAATAGCCAAGTCTGTTATTCCATATATGAGCTGAAATATTATTTTCATATGCTGCAAAGACATAATCCAGATTGCTTTTATCCAATACATAGAGGTCTTCAAACTTATCACCCTTACCAACCATCTTCTTGGTATTGTATTCCTAGATAGTGAAGCAATCGAAGAGAAACTTCACCATAAATTTTGATCCACAAGTAAGTGCACTCACAGATATCAAGTTAAACTTGAACTGGGGAATATACAGAACATCTTTTAGAGTAAGCATAGAATTCAATCTAATGTCACCTTAGTAGTTTACTGGAATTTGAGTATGATTAGGTAAAGTAACTTTGGAATTCTGAATAGGTTTCATAGAAACAAAGGCATCGGCAGTTGAACATATATGCATCGTAGTACCGGAATCAACTGTCCAACATTGAGATGAAGAAAAGATAGGTTTCAAGGAGATTGGGAAGCAAAGACAGCTTTGATAGAGAGGAAATGGAATTTTGTAGATCTGCATTTGGAGTTTCAAAGTCATCATTATGAGAAGGGGTTGGAGCATCATCGTGTAATATGGGATGAGTGGAAGTTAGCGATTGAGAGGCGGGAGAATTTTTAAGTGAAGGAATTGGCAGTACAAGATCAAGATGAAAGTGAACTAACTTGTCTAAAGATATAACATAATGGAATGAAAAGATTTCTTCAAGAAATATTTCATCTCAAGAGACTAAGATTTGCTTTGATGTAATATCATATAAGTTGTATCCTTTCAGGCCAGGCGGATAACCAAGAACTACACAAACTCAGATCTTGGTTGGAATTTTATTCTATCAGCATTAAGTGTTAATTCAAATGCTAGACATCCAAATACCTTGAAATGAGAGTATGCTGAATTTTTGTATAGGATATCATAAGGAGTACTATGTTTGAGTAAAGGAGAAGGTGTTCGATTGATGAGAAAGGGTGCCGTAAGAACACATTCACTCCAAAATTGAATTGGAACTCTGGATTGAAATATAATGCTCGAGCAACATTGAGAAGATGTTGATGTTTTCTTTCCACAACTAAATATTGTTGAGGCCACTCAACACAAGAAAACTGATGTATCACACCTTTATCATTAAAACTTTTGTAAAAAGTTAGCTTAGGTGCATTATTAGATCTGAACACTTTGATTTTGGTATTAAAATGAGTAGATATCATGTTAAAAAAACTCCGGAATAATAGAGCTAATATCAAATTTCCTCTTTAATAGATAAATCCATGTAAATCAAGTGCAATCATCTGCCAATGTAAGAAATTATTTGTGGCCAGCATGAGAAGAAACATGATAGGGTCCCCAAACATCACAATGTACTAAGTCAAATGGAAATTGAAACTTATGATTGTGGGAATCAAATGATAATCGTCTTTATTTTGCAAGAGGACAAATGTAACAGGGAACAACTTCATTCAATCTAGATATCACAATGTAAATGGTGTTTTAAAATCTCTAAATGTCGGAATGATAAATAGCCAAGTCTGTTATTCCATATATGAGCTGAAATATTATTTTCATATGCTGCAAAGACATAATCCAGATTGCTTTTATCCAATACATAGAGGTCTTCAAACTTATCACCCTTACCAACCATCTTCTTGGTATTGTATTCCTAGATAGTGAAGCAATCGAAGAGAAACTTCACCATAAATTTTGATCCACAAGTAAGTGCACTCACAGATATCAAGTTAAACTTGAACTGGGGAATGTACAGAACATCTTTTAGAGTAAGCATAGAATTCAATCTAATGTCACCATAGTAGTTTACTGGAATTTGAGTATGATTAGGTAAAGTAACTTTGGAATTCTGAATAGGTTTCATAGAAACAAAGGCATCGGCAGTTGAACATATATGCATCGTAGTACCGGAATCAACTGTCCAACATTGAGATGAAGAAAAGATAGGTTTCAAGGAGATTGGGAAGCAAATACCTGCTGTATAAGAAGTGCTTGGATCATCAGTAGTTTTGACAGAAGGAGTTAAGTGATTGGACAGTGTTGTTGATATTGGTTAGAGTTAGGAATCTGCATGAAGCCTCCAATTTCACCTCGTTGTTCATTTTGGCTTGACACTTGATTAACTGCAACATTGTTGTGGTATAGGACATGTTATCTCTATTTCTAACTTTATAACTAAGTCAAATAGCCATGAATTTTATAACATCTATCAACTGTATGACCATGAAAATTGCAATGAGTGTAGAAAGGTCTCTCTTTCTTTTTGCCCTTGTAAACTCCATTATTAGAAGTATGAATACTGTTTTGAGTATTAACATTGTTGTAATTTCTAGAATTATGAGTTCCAAGGCAAGGTAGCATCCGATTTAATAGCAAATGCCATATTTCCAACATAATGTAATCTACAACCAACTAGACTAGTGATCTTTCTTTGATGTTCTTCTTGAGATATTAGGGCAAAAACTTTACTTATAGACGGTAATGGATTTATGAAAAGTAATTGTCCTCGGACTTGTGAATAAGAATCATGTAATCCCATAAGAAAAGACATCATGTACTCCATTTAATAATGAGAATTGAGGTTCTTCACTCCACCACAAGTGCATTTGCCATAAGAACATACAAGTCTATAATTGCTTAATTCTTCCCATATAGTTTTCCGTTTTGTGAAGTATATGCTGATAGAACTCTGCTCGAGTTAAACTCGTTAATTCACACTTTAGCTGAAAAATTCTAGGTTCATTTCTCTGTTGGAAACATTCTTTTAAATCCAACCATATCCCATACGCTGATTCAACATATATAACACGAGAAGAAATTTCTTTAGAAATAGAATTCAATATCCAAGAAATAACTATATTGTTATTTTTAGTCCAAGAGCTGGGGAGATCTGGATCATTACATTTAGGCTTTTCAATTGATCAATCAATAAATCCAAGTTTGTTTTTCACAGACAATGCAATCATCAACGCTCTACTCCAAGAGGCTTAATTTTCTCTGATGAGATGCTGCAAAACTAGGACTAATCCAAGACTGTCAGAGTGATGAAGATAATAGGGATTCAAAGGTTCATCTATGGCAGAACTCGAAGATGACGTAGATTCGATTTCCATGGAAACGAAGAAAAAATGACAGTAGCATTCAATGTTAAACTAGTTGAAGGCAAGAAAATAACAATAGCAAATCAAGCTATTTGTTCTGATACCATATCAAAGTTTGAAGAGAAGAACTAGAAGAAAGAAATTCCATTCTCTGTATTCATGTATCTCGTGTTTCTAAATTCAATCAAGGCAATAAAAATAGACTGACTTGTGTACAGAATTAGTTACATAACAGCTCAACACTTAACTACCAACTATGAAAGCTCAACACTAACCAATTCTAACTATTCATAGTGAATAAACAAAACTAATAGATAACAGAATCAGTTTCATGATCTAATAATTACTTCATTACTGGTCTTTGTAATTTGATTATATATAAAGCTTGAAACTCCAAGAAAGACTTTTTTTGGGGATAGAGTGAAGGAAAAGTGTAGAAAACGATCAAGGGAAGAAAAAGGAAAGAAACCCAATTATAGTAATTGTAATTAATTAGGGATTACATATTTTTGTTATTTGGTAGGCTAATTTGTTTCCTAGATTAGGAAATTAGTTTTTCCATATTTTCTTCCTCTTGTGTGTATATAAACTGACGTGAGAAGGCTATTAATGTATTGAGAAAGAGAATTTATTTTCTCAAATCTCTAATTGTTTCTGGTGTCAGAGCCTAGGTTGCTCTAACCTAGCAGTCAATGGCGGAATTCCCCTCTCACAGTACCAGATCTGTCATCTCCGACCCCGAAGCAGAGGTCCACTCCTCCATTGGTTCCAATACATCTGAAACTTCATCATTCCAACTTACAGTCAATTAAATTAATAATTGATGGAAAAGGGAAACTTAGATATCTCACCGGCGAGACAAAGAAGCCAGCTGATCCTGCTCAACTGCAACGGTGGAATTCTAAAAATTCAATGGCAACCGCTTGGCTTGTAAACTCCATGAAGCCGTCGATAGGGAAAGCCTATCTCTTCCTCCCAACGGCAAAAGATGTCTGGGATGCCGTGAAAGAGACTTTTTCAGACGTTGGGAACACAGCACAAGTCTTCGAACTTAAGACCCGTCTATGGCAGACGAAACAGGGGACACGGGATATTATCCAATATTTCATGGAGATGACCTCCCTATGGCAGGACCTCGACCTGAGCAGCGAAGAGGAGTGAAAGTGCAAGGAAGACGTCGCCTTGTACAAGTAGCAGGAACATGAGAGAGTATTCGAATTTCTCGCAGGGCTGAATCGGGAGTTGGACGAGGTCAGACGCCGAATATTAGGAGAAGCCTACTACCATCGATCCGCGAGGTATTTGTGAAGGTGCGCCGGGAAGAAGCTCGCCAGCATGTGATGTTGAAGTAAGTCACTGGAGTAGAAATTTCGGCCTTGGCAGGGAAGAAGAATGGACAGGTGAACACTACAGAACATGGGCTTCTTGGACGAGGTAAAGTTAACGGACCAACACTTGGGCCAGAGACTGAAAACACTAATTGGGCCTCTGGAGCTTTGGGTTTTCAAAGGGAGGAATAAATGAGCCAGTACAAAAACAACGAGAAAGGTTTGGTGTGAGCATTGTCGTAGGCCAGGTCATAAAATGGACACATGTTGAGAAATTAATGGGAAGCCCAACGATTGGAAATCGATGCAAAATAGTAGGAACCGTGGGTATTAAGCAGAAACTAAGAGTAACCCAATTTTGAGTGGTGGATTCAATTCCGAACAACTTGAACAAATTTATCAATTGTTCGCCAGCTTCCAAACATCGGGTCAACCGTCTCCTAAAGGTCATTCTAGTTTATTAGCCCACAAAGGTAACCTCCTTAGAGCTCTAAACACTTCACGATGTAAAAATGTGTGGATTATAGACTCCGATGCATCCGATCACATGACGGATGCATATCACCTCTTTTCTTCATACTCTACTTGTCCTGGGAACATTAGCGTCAAAATTGTAGATGGCTCACTATCATCTGTTACAAGAAAAGAAAGTATTCGTATTTCTGAGACTATAACACTAGATTCTGTCCTTCATGTCCCAAACCTGTCTTGTAACTTGCTATCTGTTAGTCAACTGACAAAAAACTCTAATTTCTCCGCTAATTTTCTTCAGTCATGTTGTATTTTCTAGAACCTTTAATCGAGGAAGACGATTGGCAGTGCTAAAGAATGTGAATGTCTATACTATTTTGAGGAAGTTGACGTGAGTAAACCTGGTTACCTCTCAAGGTGTAATTCTGCATCTACCCCTAGTGATGGTGAATTTTTATTATGGCATAATAGAATGGGTCATCCCAGTGTGCAATACTTAAGCATGTTTTTCCTTCAATTTTTATGAATAAAAAATCTATTGAGTTTGTGTGAAAATTGGGAATTTGCCGTACAACCTTTCCAAAATTCACGTATAAACCATCTAAGTCATTTACCTCGATTCACAGTAACTTATGGGGGCCTTCTCGCAATCCAAATTGTACCCAAACAAAGTGGTTTGTCACGTTTATGACGATCACACTCGGGTTTATTGGGTCTATCTACTTAAGGAAAAAATCGAGGTTCGATAAGTTTTTATAAATTTCCACTCCATGATTCAAACACAATTTCAAACACAATTCCAAATTCTTCAAACTGACAATGGCACAGAATACTTCAATACTACTTTACAAGATTATCTAAAAAAACATGGGATAATTCACCAAAGTTTATGTGTCAACACTCCCCAACAAAACGATATTGCTGAATGAAAAAATAGACATATACTAGAAGTCGCCCGTGCCTTGATGTTCACTACAAATATGCCAAAAATATTCTAGGGAGATGCGATTCTCACATCTACATATCTCATCAACAGACTGCCATGTCGGACTCTTTCCTTCGACTCACCCCTACAAAGACTCAAAAAATGCTTCCCTACTTCTCGTCTTTCTTCAAACCTACCACTCAAAATGTTCGGCAGCATTGCATTTGTACACCTTCACTCCCCTCATCAAAATAAACTGGAACCACGTGCAATCCAATGTGTTTATCGGGTACTCCCCTACTCAAAAGGGCTACAAATGCTATGACCTATCCAAAAAAAGGGTCCTCGTTAGCCTTGATGTCACATTCTTAGAATAAACACCTTATTTTCCACGACCTCATCTTCAGGGAGAGAATTGAAAAGAAGATTAGGTCTCAAATTTGGAGTTCTTAAACTTTGACCTTGATCTCTCTGATATCCCATATACTGATTCAGTCACCCTGCCCTCTAAGGTGTCATACATAGAAAGAAACTTGAATTCAAGGAAAGATGAAGGAGAAAAAAGTGACAAGGAAATACTGGTTTACTCAATTAAGCCTAAATCAAAATGCAAGGTAACTCTCACACCTGAGATACCAAGAGAGTCTGAACCGATGTTGGGAACTGATGAGAAGTCCTCCGATGATTCTCAACCTCAAAATAATGATGATCTACCTTACATCCTCTTTCAAAATTCATATCTTATAATGCTCTCTCTACAGAATTTCGTGCTTTTACTACTAACCTTGATGAAACGGAAATTTCAAGGAATATTCAGGAAGCCTAAAAGTACCAAAATAAAGAAAAGCAGTGATGGAATAAATAAAAGCCTTAAAGAAAAATGAAACCTAGGAAGTGGTCAACCTATCGGAAGGAAAGAGGCCAGTAGCCTATAAATGGGTCTTTAATGTAAAGTACAAGGCCAACGGGACAATAGAACGTTATAAGGCTCGTTTAGTTGCCAAAGAATATACACAAACATATGACATCGACTACACAAAAACATTCGCACCAATGGTAAAATTAAATACAGTTAGAGTCCTCTTGTCACTTGCTCAATGGAGAATTGTAAGAAGAAGTATTCATGACAATACCAACAGGCTTCAATAAATCTAATGAGGAAAATTGAGTGTGCAAACTCAAGAAATCTTTGTATGGGCTCAAGCAGTCACCTAGAGCATGATTTGATAGATTTGCAAAGGTTCTAAGAAGTCAAGGATATCAGCAAGGACAATCAGATCACACCATGTTCTTCAGACGATCCACAGACAGGACAATAACTATTCTAATTGTATATATGGATGATATCATCCTAACAGGAGATAATATAGTTGAGATGGAAACATTGAAAAAATGTTTAGTAACGGAGTTTGAAGTGAAAGATCTTGGGCAATTGCGGTACTTCTTGGGGATAGAGGTTGCTAGATCAAGGAAGGGTATTTGTGTTTCCCAAAAAAAATACATCCTTGATCTATTGATGGAAACTAGTATGTTGGGATGCAAACCTAGTGATGCACCTATCAAGGCAGGAAAAGCAACAAGAGACACAGAAGCCCTGTGGAAATAGACAAATACCAAAGACTAGTTGGAAAGTTAATCTACGTCTCACACACTCGACCTGACATTGCTTTCACCATCAGCTTGTTTACTCAACACGTGCACTCTCCTAAGGAGGGTCACCTAGAAGTAGCATATAAAATCCTCAGATACCTAAAAGGGACTGCTGGAAGAGGACTATTCTTCGGGAAAAATGAGAGGAAAGGAGTAGAGATATTCACAGATGCAGATTGGGCTGGATCAACTGAAGATAGAAGATCAACCACCGGCTATTGTACCTTTGTATGAGAAAATTTGACAACTTGGAGAAGCAATAAACAAAATGTGGTAGCTAGATGCAGCGCTGAAGCTAAATTCAGAGCTATTGCACAAAGAATTTGTGAAGGCTTATGGATAAAGAAACTCTTGGAAGAATTGAAAGTTAGAATAGAATTCCCGATCAAACTCTACTGTGATAATAAATCAGCCATCAACATTTCTCTCAATCCTATGCAAACATGACAGGACTAAACATGTAGAAGTAAATAGACACTTCATCCAAGAAAAAGTGGACAATGGTATTATTTGCATGACAAATATTCCTACAAAGGAACAAACGGTTGACATATTCATGAAAGGACTATCTAGACAAGTATTTGATGATTTCATTAGCAAGTTGAACATGGTCAACATCTACTGTTCTACTTGAGGGGGAGTGTAGAAAACGATCAAGAGAAGAAAAAGGAAAGAAACCCAGTTATAGTAATTGTAATTAATTAGGGATTACATATTTTTGTTATTTGGTAGGCTAATTTGTTTCCTAGTTTAGGAGATTAGTTTTTCCATATTTTCTTCCTCTTGTATGTATATAAATTGATGTGAGAAGGCTGTTAATGTATTGACAAAGAAAAATTATTTTCTCAAATCTCTAATTCTTTAAAAAGAGATTTAGGCATGAAGTTGGCATAGAATTTGGAGGGTTGAATTACGATATTTCTTATTTTTGGAACGTAGATTGGGCGGCAAGCTAGCCTTTCCTAAAAGCAAAAGTAGCTTGAATCAAAGGCAACAACGAGGCCCGGGAAAATGAGTTAGAGGACCGCAGTAGGAAGTGGTTGAGAACTTCAGAGAATTTTTTTTTAGATATAATAGAGTTTCACATGTAGGGAAAGTGATTTGCAGGTCTTTCATGCTTCAAGGTAGTACTGAGTACTGGTGAAATTCAATTAGTGGCATAGAAGATGTCAATGTTATGATTTGAGATAGATTTAAATATTTATTTCGCAACAAATGTTTTATAGCTCCAGTCCAAGCCATGAAAAATAATGAATTCATACAGTTACGAGAAGAAAGTATGATAGTGAGAGAGTATAGTTGCAAGTTTGAAAACTTATGAAGTTAGATTTTGAATGATTACTACGGAGTTTGGGAATGAAATGTCTCGAAATATTATATCTTGTTAGAATTGTTGTCCTTGTACTTGATGCTTCATGCGAATTGGAAGTTATTACTGTTGGTTAATATGTTCCATTCGATAATAGTATTATTTGATAGGTTTACTTAAATAAAACCTATCAGGTCAAACAAATTAACCAACAATAATAACACTTTTTTACTGTATGCAAGTATCATATCAATTACAAAGAAAAAGGGGGGAAAAAAAGAAATTTGCATATATTATTTATTAAAATTAGGTAGGAAAAGATAGTTTCAATAAAATATAATTTAATTAAAACATTTTCATTCCAAATCTAATTTTCCAATATAAATTTCATCTACAAAAAATGTGATAAAAATACTAAATTTGAAACACTAATGTTGAATATTTTGTCGGGAGTCAACTTATTGGTTGGCGATCATTGATCAGAACATTATTAGTTAGTACCGACGACATTATACTATCTGTAAATCATTAAAGGATATATGCAGTTGATAAAATATTAGTATCAATAATTTTGTTAGAAATCATTAAAAAATATTAATTTTCGTCAATATTACTTATAATATTCCTTTGATGGAATCATCATTTGGTCCATTTAATTATTATTATTATTATGATGATGACGACGATGCAAAAAGCTCCTTAAACAATTTTGTCCAAGGCTTTGAATTGCTAGAGCCGCCACTTTGTCCTTTGAATTGCTCAATAGCTAAAACCACCTTTGTAATGGAGACCATTGCTTTGCATTTTAGCCGGAAACGTACGTATTTACACACAAGCCTTCATTGATTAGTTTTTACATGGAAACAACCACAGTCGTGCAAATGGAATACCAACATTTCCCATGTCTCTAATTAAATTGTTTAGTTGGGCTTTGTAAAGGCACGTAAATGGACCATATTTACCTAGAACAACTGTAGATACACTCTTGATGATATACCTAAAGTCTATCTCTCAAACCATCACCCATCCCTATCCCAATCCGATCCACCCCATCTCTAATTTATGTAGTGAGGTATTTAGATACAGTACACTTTTGATAGAAGAACATATTTCAGCATGGAAGTTGAGTCATTTCCTATGAAAATCGAGGCTAATCGTCTAGAGAACTCAAAGAAACTGAAAAAGTTCATAGCCAAATGAACACAATCGCAAAAACTCAATGATTATCTGAGAAATTATGCGTGTTCTATTGTCTCGGTTTGCAACTATAATTATAGAGTTCAAAACATAGTTCACCCTACAATTGGTAAATTTGATTAAAAGTGTGTTTGACCCCAGTTTTACGGAAAAATGAATTTTAGAATAATAGATCGATGGAAATTGTGTGGATGAAAATAAGGAAATGCTTTTAATTTACGTGTAATATTATTTTAATGAAGAATGTGTGGTTGAAAAAAAAAAGAGAGAAAAATGTATTTTGAAAAAAATAGGAATCAAACGGGACCTAAATATACAAAGTCGAGGCTCAAGTCGAAAGACATCTAAAC